AGGGGCCAAATGGAATCCTTTCTCCCTACAGCTGTCTCTGTAAGGTATTCTACCACAGAAGCAAGAGACATTGTTTCTTCTCCATCTTACCCTTCCCAATAGGGACTGGCTAGAAACTCACTGTCTGCTTGCCTATTGCATGACATCTTGCTAGGACACACCGCAGTATCCCTAAATGCTATACAAAATGATATCTACCTGGCTGGGTTCCATCCATTGTCATGGTAACATCCAGAAACACCTAGTACAAGGGCTGGTGAGGACAGCGCAAGGCTCTTTGTTGGCCTTACCAGCAAAGGATGCAATCTGCTTCATCAGGGGGACTGTAGACAGATTTTCCCCAAATTTAAAAGGACTAGAAAGCATTTGGGTATGCTCATTAAAATACTGTTTAAAAGCAAAGGCTTAAGCCATGGGATACAGTGCATTAATTACTCAAAGATTCTCTTGACCCAGGCCAAAGGGTTTGCACTGTGTGCTTATTCACCCTTCCAGATACTCTATTCTGTCTTGTTGAGGTGTTTGCGCTAGGTCTGAGTGAAACAGAAAGATGACCACAGAGCACTTTGTAAATAATGGGATCTGTCCGGAGGTCCCAAATGGCACAAGACAGGCAAGGAAGGCTCGTGTGAAGATGGATGGCCCTTCATCACAAGAACTGTTGACCTGGCCTTGATATTCAGGGACACAGGCCCTGTAGGGAGGGAGAACCTGTCGAGGCAGATATGACAGGCAGTGAAAGGTACATTTAAGAAGTAGGAAGCTCCATTTGGCAAAGAAGATGGCATATTAGGAAATTCAATTTGGGAAAAGCAGGGTCTAAGGAACATCATGTTTAGGGGATGCTTCCAGAAGAACTCTTAGGTTCTGGGCTGAAGGGGTGGAAATCTGTAGAATATGAAACCCCAGGAAGGCCTTCAACAGCATTGGGAAGAGGGACAAAGGACAGTTGATAGATGGCAGCTATGGCTATGAAGGAGGAAACAGAGTGAGGCGTAGTCCCAAGGTTCACCACCAGGGCCAAATGTCTTCAAATGGGGAGAAAACCATCACACCATTCGCTCAGCTGCTAATGCCCTTGAGATTCCCTCCTCTTCCTCCAGCCACTGATGGAGAAACCATCAGTGCTACTTCCTACCCAGACTATATGCTTGTTTGTCTATACTGATCTGGCTTCCTAACTGACCTCTAAATTACCTTTACTTTATAATGGTCATGTTGATATCTGCACAGAAGTGAAAATGATAATGCCATCCTTTTGCCGGGAACAACTTTTAGTGGTTTAGGAAGAGGCAAGGAGGCTTTAAGCTCAGTCTCTGATGCCATCCTCACCTGACCTCCTGCTTCTCTCTCAAGCTTCTTGCACTAGTTACCTCTGGCTCTTTACGCACAATTCTGCTCCACCCAAGAAATGCACCGTCCTTATCCTGCATACGCTTAGCTTCAGGACAGGATGGTGCCCCTGCGTAAGCCACGACACATTACTTCGTACAGAACTTAAATGAACAGCTGTTTTCCGATGACTATTTCTCTGGACAAGAGACTTCCCTTCCAACCCGGAACTCCCTGTATCCACGAAGATGGGCATAGTATTTTATATACAGGAGACACTCAGTAGGTGAATGCATGAGGAAAGGAGTAAGAAGCAAAAGAGGTCACCGAAGCAAAGACAAAGTACCACAGCTGAAAGACAGCACAGAAACATGGATGTCCAAGGGGCTTGGAAGACATTAAAACTGAGGCTGGCAGCAATGTTCAGCAGATTTTGGGAAGGTAGACGAGAAGCTGAACAATTTAGAAGGGACTGGAAATGTGCATCTTCATAGTTGTTTCCCGGGAGCTGATCATGGGATGGCACAACTAAGCCAGGCACACGGCAATGACCTCTTTCCAAACATACAGTGGGATTGTTGAGGGGACTACCCACGGGGTGCCCATCTTTGTACCCCAGGTTCCATAAAAGACAAGAGACGAGAACTTCAAGAAAAGGGGGTTTGCCAGTCCTTCTCCTTTAAGGGGCATGAAGACCAACACCCAGTCTCCTGGAGGCCTGGAGTCCTCGCTGATTTCATCAGGAAGCAGTTTCTATTACATCAAGGTGCTGGAGTCTAGATCTTGAATGTTCTCCAAGGCCTATTTGCTAAAAGGTTGGTCCCAGGCTGTCATTACTGAGATAGTGGAGCCTTCTAGAATGGGCCCCACTAAGTGATTAGGTAGTGGAGGTGTGCCTTTGAGGAACATTGTGAGACCCTGACTTCCTACTTGAGTTGTTGGTTAGTTGCTTTCTAGCCATGAACTAAGCTGTTTTGATAGGCCATGCACTTATCATATCATGACATGCTGCCTTGCCCTAGGCTCGAAATCAGCAGGGTCAACCAATTATAGCCTTGAGCCTCCTAAAACTTTGAATTCAAATAAACCTTTTACCCTTTACAAAGTTGATTATCTCAGGTATTTTGGTATGGTGACAGAAAGATCATGTGTGGGACAAATGATGCCTGCAGGAGTTGGGCGAGGAGTTGGGCGAGGAACAGGAGGCAAAGAATAGAAACCACATCTTTGAGAATTTTAGTAGAGATGTCTCTGCCTCAAGTGGGCTGATGCATCAGCCCTGCACATGCAAATAAATAAAATCACTTCCCTCTTCCTAGTTACCAGAATTACCCCCAAGGCTCTCCCAAGAGATTGTCCTTCAGAGTGTGCACGAGCTTTATCGACAGGGTCACTCCAGGCCATTGGGGTTTCCCAGGGTTGTAAGGGTCTTCCACTGAATCAGTACTGGGATCTAAAGACACTTGTGTTTCCATACTACAGAAGACACAGGGAGGAAGGATCTTCGGTTTGTGTTGTTCTAAACCATGCAGGCCACATAGTCTATAGAGAGTTTGGGAGTTCCAGCTTGGTTCAGCAGTCAGGGTTCTTCATGGGTCCTAGAGGCAGAATCAAGGGCTTCCTTGCCTTGCTTTATTTTCTGACTATATACACACCTCTTGGACCTTTTGAGAAGTTTTGAGTCAAGACTGTGGTGTTCCTTAGCAGCCCTGCCAAATACAACTCAAACAGCCTATCAGTTTCAACACAGCTTCCAAGAAGATGTCAGGACAAAGGAGCTACCTCATCTCAGAAAGCAGGAGTTCATAGTACAGTCCTCTAACTAGTCAGATAGGTCCACAGGCATGTGAGCAATATGTTTATTCTACCCATTCTCTAGATTCATTGCTGCTATTGGGTTCACCTATTTGAAACACTGAAGGGCCAGTGGAGAACTGGAGAACTCACTACATATCTTCAAGAACTGTGTCCATACATCACAGTATGAATGCAAATGCATTTTAGATATAAAGTGGGGACACAGAAAGTGAAGCATTTGAAATGATAAAGTGGTGGCAGGAATGCTACATAAAAGCATTAGAATTAAAGAAATAGTCCTTTCTATTTTAATACCAGCAGCCAATGTAAGATTGTTGAGAAAAGATCTGCAGTACATTAGGTTCTTTAGCAATTTAGTAACAAATACTATTTTCATTTCCCTTTCACTTAAATATACTGCAATTTAGTGTCATTATATCATAATAAAATTTAAATAATCATCATCTTCTCTTTGCCCCAGCATTTTTCCTTACTTATTATTTTAGAGCACCTCAAAAGTTATTATATAACAAACTCTTGCAGTTTTTCAGTCACTTCTATTATTTTAATTAATCTTTATTCTTTATGATACCCTATGATATGTATTTTAATGTCTCATAACTTTATATGTGATGAAAATTTAAACAAAAGAAGAACTGCCTTGGAATTAATAATAGAATAGAATATTCTATTATATAAATATAAATAGAATAGAACAGAAGCCTTTGTTCTACCTGATCCCATAGCCTTTTAGTCCCAAATAAACACACTGAGGCTTCTTGCTGGCTAGCTCTCTCTTACTTATTAACCCATAACTATTAATCTACGTATTTCTACATGGCCTTATCTTACTGGAGAATGCTTGGCGTCTAATCTTCCTGGTAGCTACATGGCATCACTCTGGCGACTCCTCTTTGTCTTCCTCTTTTCAGCCTATGCTTCCTGCATGGCTATTGGCCAATCACATATTCACAGCATAAAGAAGTATATTCCCCCATCACAATAGCTCTCTGAGACATTCCTCTAGGACTCTGAATTAACAATAACAACAGAGAAGAAGAAGAAGAAGATGATGATGATGATGCTGACGACGACAATGATAGTTACACCTTTCTTTTGGGGGTGGATAATGGAAGCCTCAAACTTGCTATGTAGGTGAAGATACCCTTAATCCCTACGCTCCCACATCCCTAGTCTGCAAGTTGTCAATTGTTACACCCCCCATGCCTGGCTTTTGCAGGGGTGGGGACCAAATCCAAGGCTTTATGAATGGTAGACAAGTACTCTGCCAACTGAGGCACAGCGCCACCTATTTGGGGGCTACAGAGATGGTTCAGCAGTTAAGAACACTTGCTTTTCCAGGGGAACGGGGCTTAATTCCTAGCATTTATTATGAATCTCTCACAACTGTTTCTAACTCCTGGGAATCCAAACATCTCTTCAGGCCTCCGTGGGCATTCACAGGGACGTGTGCATACACAAGCACAAATACACAGGCATACACATAAGTAAATATAATTTTTTTTTGGTTTTTATGAGACAGAGTTTCTCTGTATTGTTTTGGAGGCTATTGGTCACAGAGATCCACCTGCCTCTGCCTCTCGAGTGCTGGGATTAAAGGCGTGCGCCACCACCGCCGGGCTAAAATAATATTTTTAAATTAACACCTCTTTCTCACTTTTAAAAAGCTATAGGATTCACCCACCTACTCAGTATTTACAATTGCCCCACCAATTAATTTTACACTTTGGGCAATCAATCCAGATACTCAGGTCTTAGAAGCAATTTACCTCCCCCTTTCTCCCTTGTCTATGCAGTAGAGAATTCAATAAAATAAGAGACTATCAGAATCTTTTTTCCCGACATCTTAGGGATGCTGTGGTGGTTGTCGCCCCTCTCCAAGCTTCATCGTGCCTCCTAAGGATGACAAGAAGAAAGATGCTGGAAAGTCAGCCAAGAAAGACAAAGACCCAGTAAATAAGTCTGGTGGCAATGTCAAAAATAAGAAGTGGTCCAAAGGCAAAGTTCAGGACAAGCTCAACAATCTAGTCCTGTTTGACAAAGCTACATACGACAAACTCCGTAAGGAAGTGCTCAATTATAAGTTTACTACTCCAGCTGTGGTCTCTGAGAGACTGAAGATTCTCGGTTCCTTGGCCAGGGCAGCCCTTCAAGAGCTACTTAGCAAAGGATTTACCAAGCTGGTTTCAAAGCACAGACCCCAAGTAATTTATATCAGAAACACAAAGGGTGGAGATGCCCCAGGTGCCGGTGAAGATGCATAAACAGGCTCAATCAGCTGTACATTTGGAAAAATAAAACTTTGTTGAATCAAAAACAGGAGACTATCAGGAAGCAATTGAAAAATCAAAAATGTAAGGGCTTTGTTTAAATAGCCAATTATTAGATTGAAGTATATTATATATTAAGAAATAAAAATGTGCCAGGCATAGTAGTGACACGTGTTTAATTTCAGCACTCAGGAGGTAGAGACAGATAGATCTCTGTAAGTTCAAGGCAAGTCTGGTCTAAATAGTGAGTCCCAGGACAGCCAGAACTATACAGGAAGATCCTGAATTTAAAAAAAATGAAAAGAAAAGGAAGGAAGGAAGGAAGGAAGGAAGGAAGGAAGGAAGGAAGGAAGGAAGGAAGGAAAGGGGTGGTTTGAAAAGCGCATGGAGGCACACATCTTAATCCCAGCACTCGAGAGGCAAAGGCAGGTAGGCCTCTGTGAAATCCAGGCTGTCTGGTCTGGATGTTCCAGGTCAGCAAGGGCAACATAATAAGAACCTGTTCACCCCGCCAAACAGTGTAGTGAGCTTTTGGACATTATATGTTCACAGCCGAAATTCTGTTTCCGTGTTTCTACTTATTGCATACAGACTTGTGAAAGCAAATGTCACTCTGTGTAACTTGGTTTCCTCATTCATTTGATAAGCATTTGCTGAATAAATATTGTGCACCAGGTACTCCTCTAAACAATAGGGACAAAGGTGAGTAAGAACTTTCCCACATTTCCACTGTGGGTAACAAGCAGAGGCCGGTGACAAAAACCACATTGTAACTAAGAATAACCCCATCTTGGGAAAATCTTGAAAAGAGTTTCATGAAACAATCTTTACATCGAAACTACGCATAAAGCCCATTGAAAGTCTGGAGAGTTGAAAAAAATCTATATACAAATTGCCCCTTATCTCCCAAGAACATGTTCTGTCTACAATTCTCATTGGAAAAATCCCACAGAACCCTTAAGAAGGAAGTGAAAAGACAAGAAAAAGACTTTTGTATTTTTAGCTTACGCTGGGAATGTGGTAGAGCACTTGCCTAGCAGAGCAGAGGCCTTGGGTTCTCAATCCCCACAAGTGCATAAAATGGGTTTAGGTGATATGAATGGACAGAGGGAAGCTGGGAAGGAGGAAGGGAGGGAGGGAAGTGTTTGCCTAATTTTAAGTATGAGATATCTGAAAATGCCAAGCAAATACAGTAAATTCACTTTGTAAGGAGTAAGGCTTGACTTTTGAATTCTGTTCTTACAGACACAAAAGGCAGCAGGGTAGGATGTACATGGTATATTCAATTAGTCCATATGCCCTCTGTCGTCTGTGCAAGAGCCTTTTACTTACCCACTTAGTGTGCCCACATACACTGAGATGGTATAAGCATGAACTATCACACCTACTCAGCATAAACCAGCACTCGGGCAATGGCATTTGACAAGTGTGATGAGTCTGGATTTTCCTTTCTCCCAGAAACAATCAAAGACTTCAAAGTAGTTACAATCTGTAATTCTGCACTAAACTGCAAGGCACTGTCACTTCCTATACTGATTAACTTCCCCTTTTAGGCCACAGCAAAAAATAGAATAAATGGCAAAAGACTTCCTGAGTTCTTTTTTGTTTGTTTGCTTGCTTGTCTTTTGTTTTTCAAGACTGGGTTTCTTTGTGTGGTTCTGGCTGTCCTGGAACTCGCTCTTGTAGACCAGGCTGGCCTCAAACTCACACAGATCCCCCTTGCCTCTGCCTCCCCACTGCTGGAATTAAAGTCACGCACCAGCATCACCCAGCGTTTTCCTGAGCTCTTACATGATACACTGTTAATAGAAAATCACATCTGCTCCTGGAATTTAATTAATAGTATTATTTGTTAAAGTTTACTCAGTAGGTTACACAAGCCCTCATAAACAGAATTAATGCCCTTATAAAAGATACCCCAGAGAGATATCATGTCTCCCTTGCCACCTGTGGCTATAATTAGCAGACGCTGTCTGTGAGGAAGTGGCCCTCATCAGACACCAAATCTGCCAGTGCCTTGAAGTCGGACTTCCCAGTCTGTAGACTGTGAGAAAATCTTATCTGTTCCTATACCACACAGCCTATGGATGCTTCCTAACGAAGCTCCAGCTCTATGACAAATGCTTCAGAAAGTCACACGGGAACACTGGGGACACGGGGAACAAAATGATCCTAACCCAACAACACACACCTCGTTGAGAGGTCAGCATTAGGAAAACGTGGACTTCAGCTAGGACACTGTGATAGGCGGAAAGGACCCCCTCCAGACTGCTGTGCAAGGGGAGTTGCTCTCAGAGGCAACTTCATCCAGAAACTGCTGGAGGCAGACTAGAGAAAGAAAGGACCAAAGCATCTGGAAGAATCCTCCTGTTTCCTAAATTGCTGGTTCCAACAACTACCAGCACAGCAAAACTAAAGACTCTTAAGGCGGTTTTTTGGGGGGGGAGAAGGACATGGAAAGAATATACACAGAACACTGTTGGAGCAGGAATGGAGAGACCTCTGCGAGCTATCTGCTGGGGGGGAGAGGGGGAGAAGCAGGCAGAGATGAGGCTGAGCCTGGTCCCAGGGGGCTGCAATGACCTCCCAGAGGCCTGCGAGGTGAGCTAAGGAGTAGTCCTTTCCATAGGTTAGGAGCCGACCGCAGGGCCTGAGACCGGGACACTGTTTACAAGGTCCTTTCAGCAGCTACTAAGCTCAAAGGAGAAGCTCTGGGAGAGAAAGGTAAGAAAGACAGCCACCAAGAGGTCCCCTGAAGCAGGAAAAGCCAAGGCTTGAGGCACCAGATAAAAGACTGTAGCATCTTCCAGCCAGCCAGCAAATCTACCCCAAATTAAAAGTCCTAGGCAGTGTTTGTTCGCATTAGAAAGAGGAAACATTTAAAAATTAATCCTCCTGCCCTTATACAATTCGAAATCAATGGTCTTAAAGTCATAGAGGTATCTTTTGTTTCTCATCTGACTTGAGAATCTCACTGCCATGTTTGAAGCTAGTGACGAAAATAAGAAAGGAAAATCTATACTGACAGCCAGCCTGAGAAACGCTGGTAGAAGAGTGGGGGGGGGGGGGAGTAAGCAAACAGAAAAGCCTAGCTCTGACTTCGTGCGGTTCAAGCTAGAGACATTCTGTTCACTAATAGAAGAACCAAGGCTTTTTCCAAATGTAAACAGTACACTCGATAGGACAGGCCGCCAAGAGCTGTCCAGTGTTTGCACATGACTCTCAGGTGTGCCCTGGCCAAAGATTAAGGAGGGGTTGGCTCCCATTCCTAACTGCTCCAGCTTGCCAATGGATTGCACCAGAAATAAGACAGTGAGCGGGTAAGGATAAGGCTGGAGGAGAATTTAGATTAGGAAAAATACTAAAAGAAAAATAAAGTGGCTATGTTTCCAAAGCCAAGGGGAATGAAGCAGGAGAAAGCCCTGACCGAGGAAAAGAACCTCCTGGACTCAGTCTGTGTTTGGAGACTGATGCTGGTGCAAACCCCTCTGGAGATGCAGGCCGTCTGCAGATTAAACCAGTCCATGAGACAGTCTGTACTTACCCTCAGGGAGGGCCTCTCCCAACTCCCAGACTCCTGGGGCCTCTACCAACATTGCTATCGGAAAGTCTCTGAAAACCGTCACCATCACATTCCCGCTTTGCCTTTTTCATAGCGAGAGGATAAAGGTAACAAATTAGCCCATTCCCCTGGGGGGAAAGGAGTATCATAGACTATTTAATCTCCATTGTTTTGCATAAGTAGCTAGCTTAGTAGCCATGGTTCTCAATCTTCCTTCTGCTGCAACCCTTTAATACAGTTCCTCATGTTGTGGTGATCCCCAACCACAAAATTATTTTTGTTGCTACTTCATAACCGTAATTTTGCTTCTGTTAGGAATCATAATGTAAATATCTGATATGCAGGATATCTGATATGCTACCCCTGTGAAAGAGTCATTTGACTCTTGACCCACAGGTTGAGAATCACTGGCTTAAAGGTAGTACTTTATGTATGAATAGGATCTTTGTAAGTTTGTTCGCTGTCTTCATCTCCCATATCACCCAGTGAGAATTACTGCTGTCCCATCACTGTTCAACCATGTCACCCCAACTTGCTCAAACATACAGGACGTATAAGCAGATATGCTTACTTGAAAATGTCACAGGTTTTGTATTGTGACAGCATGATGGTTAGTTTTAATTGTCAACCTAACACAGTCGAGAATCATCCGGGAAGAGTTTCAAAGAGAGAGTGTCTACATTGGACAGTCCATGAGGGATTGCCTTAATCAAGTTAGTTGATATGAGAAGACCCAGCCCATTATGGAAGCAAGAAGCACAGAACAGTGTAAAAGTAGAGAAATTGCTAGGTGTGGTGGTGCTCACCTTTAATGCAGACACCTGGGAACAAAGACAGGTGGTTCTCTGAGAGCAAGGGCTGTCTGGTTTACCATAGTTAAGTCCCAGGCCAGCATAATGGCATAGTGAGACCCTGTCTGTGTTTGTTGTTTTAAAGGGAGAGAGATTGAGCCACGTCCAGCAAGCAAACAAGCAGGCATTCATTTCTGTCTGCCCTTGACTGGGGATGTGATGTGACCAGCTGTTCGGTGTTCTTGCCTTGACTCACAACGATGGGCTGAAACCTGGAATTGTAAGCTAAGATAAACTCCTTTCTCCCTCAGGTCGCTTTCTGCTAGGGTATTTTATTACAACAGAAGTGAATCTAGGGCAGACAATAACTCTTCTACCAGGCCTATCTACAAACACTGAAAATTTATAGAGGAAAACAGCTTTCCATATTCTCTAACTGTTCTTATTCTATTTTTGACGACCACTTTGTAGAACAGTAATGCCCATTCTCAAAACCACAGCCTCAGTTTCTCTCCATGACCTGGCTATGACTTCGATGGAAAAACAGGATGAAAGCCAATGACCTGCTTGATGGCCAGTTGCATCTGTACACATCTGGGTGACATATGCAAGAACTTCAGACTGTGACAAATGTTTCTAAAGATGGCCACCATCAATTTCTAACCCCTCTAAGTGTACATGTCCTCTA